TACTTCCTCCGAATATGATGGCGTGTGGATCCCCCCTCCCCCCCCCCCCCCCTCTCTCCTCCCCCCCCCCCCCCCCCCACCACCCCCACCACTCCGCCGCACACACACACACACACACACACTCCACCGCACCCCAACCCCCATCCACCCAAGCTGCACCGCTTTGGTCGACCACATGTATATAGGATAATTATATGAAGAAAGTTGCCCCGACGATCCTAACAGTCTGTCTTCGCAGTCAAGGCAAGTAACTCTTCAGAGCATAACACCAAGCGGTAGTTATGAGTTACCGAGCTATGGTCATATAAATCAACACGAAATCCACAATGCATTGTAACGCATTACAAAACTCACATGCACAGCATAGACATATCTTCCCTGCGATCTTCCCGTTCTCTTATAGTCATAGATCAGTTGGGTTTGTCCACACTCCTCCAGTTGGTCTGTTCCGAGGCAATGTATCAGTGACTTCATTGACTGTAAGTAAATCTAAAGTAGCTAGCAATTCTAATTGATTTGAGAGAACGGCGTATGTATAGATGTACTAGTCTATAATATGCTATACGATGCTGAATGTTGTTTATGTCACGAAATTGAAGCCCTGACGATACCGAAACTAGGTTTAAGTTGATTATATTGCTTATGAGACGCGCAGGTTCAAATGTGTATTAATAATCTCATTTCAAATCGGGATATTAATGTATATAATCCTATGGAACAACCTGTAGCTATGTCTTGTCCGGAGTACAAACCCGGAAGAATGAATACACAACTTAAAACATGGCGGACATTTATCTAGGTCAGGTGGTAGACGAGAGCCGAGAATCGATGTGAACGGACGGAGAAGGCATGACTCGAGATTACGGCGGAGAATACTTCCTTCATTACTATGCATATCGTGGTGATTACCCCTCGTGCATTCTTGAGATTTTGATAAAGATACCTCCTATAGATGTATGCCTGAAAAATAGATATGGTCATATACACCCTATACATGCAGATGCAGATATACATGTATGTCATAACACTATTACCCAAGCCGTAGACCCATCTCGTTCATTTTATATTTCAGTGTCAATATGTTGACATGGGGGTCATAAACATACCTCTTACCCTCTTACACCCCGACACTGCCTTCACAACACCCTGGTAAATCTCTCCCCAACACCCTGAACACGTCCGTCACTACATCCTGGACGCTCTCTCCCATACACCCACCCTGAACACTGCCTCCACTACACCCTGGACACTCCCCTGCACACTGAATACTGCCTCCACCATATCCTGAACTCTCTCATCTACACCCTGAAAACAGCGGCCAATACACCCTGGACGATCTCTCCCATACACTCTGAATACTGCCTCCGATACACCGGAGTAAGGTTCTCCCCAACAACCTGAAAACAACCGTCACAACATCGTGAACGCACACTCCTCTACACCCTGAATACTGCCTCCACTATACCCTGGTTAATCTCTCCCTTACACCCTGAATACTGCCGCCACTTTTCCATGGACTCTCTCTACCCTGCACACTGAGTACTGCCTCCACGACACCCTGGACTCTCTCTTCCCTGCACCCTGAGAACTGCCTCCACTATACCCTGGACTCTCTCTTCCCTGCACCCTGAACACTGCCTCGACTACACCCTGGACGCACCCGTCTACACCCTGAACACAACCTTCACTACACCCTTCACTCCCCAACATCCTGAATACTGCCTCCGAAAATGACTCGGAGGACTACCCTCCCCCCCCCCCCCCCCTCCCGCATCCACCCCCCACCCCAAATCCCCCATCCCCACCTGTGTATATGATAATTATTCGAAGAAATTTAATCCTTAGAGACTGTCTTCGCAGTCAAGGCAAGTAACTCTTCAGATCATTACTCCAAGCGGTAGTTATATGTTACCGAGCTGTTGTTATATGAATCAACACGAAATCCACATTGCATTGTAGCGCATTATAAAACTCACATACACAGCATAGACATATCTTCCCTGCGAGGAGCCCTGTTCCCTTATAGTCACAGATAAGATGGGTTTGCACACACCCCTACAGTTGGCCTGTTCCGAGGCAATGTATCAGTGACTTCATTGACAGTATGTAAATCTAAAGTAGCTAGCAATTCTAATTAATTTGAGAACGCGGTATATGTATAGATGTGCTTGTGTATAATATGCTATACCATGCTGAATGTTGTTTATTTCACGAAAATGGAGCCCTGGCGAAACCAAAACTAGGTTTAAGTTGATTATATTGCTTATGAGATACGCAGGTTCAAATGTGTAATTACAATCACTTTTCAAACCTGGGTATTTATGTATAACGGTTGTGTTCCCAGAGTAAAGGCACTGCCTCCACTACACCCTGAACACTGCCTCCACTACACCCTGGTCACTCTCCCACCTACACCCTGAACACTGCCTCCACTACACCCTGAACACTGCCTCCACTACACCCTGAACACTGCCTCCACTTCACCCTGGTCACTCTCTCACCTACACCCTGAACACTGCCTCAACTACACCCTGGTCACTCTCTCACCTGCCCCCTGAACACAGCCTCAACTACACCCTGGTCACTCTCTCACCTACACCCTGAACACTGCCTCCACTACACCCTGGCCACTATCTCACCTACACCCTGACCACTGCCTCCACTACACCCTGGTCACTCTCTCACCTACATTCCGAACACTGCCTCCACTACACCCTGGTCACTCTCTCACCTACACCCTGAACACTGCCTCCACTACACCCTGGTCACTCTCTCACCTACACCCTGAATACTGCCTCACAACACCCTGGTCACTCTCTCACCTACACCCTGAACACTGCCTCCACTACACCCTGGTCACTCTCTCACCTACACCCTGAATACTGCCTCAACTACACCCTGGTCACTCTCTCACCTACACCCTGAACACTGCCTCCACTACACCCTGGTCACTCTCTCACCTAAACCCTGAATACTGCCTCCACTACACCCTGGTCACTCTCTCACCTACATTCCGAACACTGCCTCCACTACACCCTGGTCACTCTCTCACCTACACCCTGAACACTGCCTCCACTACACCCTGGTCACTCCCTCACCTACACCCTTAACACTGCCTCCACTACACCCTGGTCACTCTCTCACCTACACCCTGAACACTGCCTCCACTACACCCTGGTCACTCTCTCACCTACACCCTGAACACTGCCTCCACTACACCCTGGTCACTCTCTCACCTACACCCTGAACACTGCCTCCACTACACCCTGGTCATTCTCTCACCTACACCCTGAACACTGCCTCCACTACACCCTGGTCACTCTCTCACCTACATTCCGAACACTGCCTCCACTACACCCTGGTCACTCTCTCACCTACACCCTGAACACTGCCTCCACTACACCCTGGTCACTCGCTCACCTACACCCTGAACACTGCCTCCACTACACCCTGGTCACTCTCTCACCTACACCCTGAACACTGCCTCCACTACACCCTGGTCACTCTCTCACCTACATTCCGAACACTGCCTCCACTACACCCTGGTCATTCTCTCACCTAAACCCTGAATACTGCCTCCACTACACCCTGGTCACTCTCTCACCTACATTCCGAACACTGCCTCCACTACCCCCTGGTCACTCTCTCACCTACACCCTGAACACTGCCTCCACTACACCCTGGTCACTCTCTCACCTACATTCCGAACACTGCCTCCACTACACCCTGGTCACTCTCTCACCTACACCCTGAACACTGCCTCCACTACACCCTGGTCATTCTCTCACCTACATCCTTAACACTGCCTCCACTACACCCTGGTCACTCTCTCACCTACACCCTGAACACTGCCTCCACTACACCCTGGTCATTCTCTCACCTACACCCTGAACACTGCCTCCACTACACCCTGGTCACTCTCTCACCTACATTCCGAACACTTCCTCCACTACACCCTGGTCACTCTCTCACCTACACCCTGAACACTGCCTCCACTACACCCTGGTCATTCTCTCACCTAAACCCTGAATACTGCCTTCACTACACCCTGGTCATTCTCTCACCTACATTCCGAACACTGCCTCCACTACACCCTGGTCACTCTCTCACCTACACCCTGAACACTGCCTCCACTACACCCTGGTCACTCTCTCACCTACACCCTGAACACTGCCTCCACTACACCCTGGTCACTCCCTCACCTATACCCTGAACACTGCCTCCACTACACCCTGGTCATTCTCTCACCTACACCCTGAATACTGCCTCAACTACACCCTGGTCACTCTCTCACCTACACCCTGAACACAGCCTCCACTACACCCTGGTCACTCTCTCACCTACACCCTGAACACTGCCTCCACTACACCCTGGTCATTCTCTCACCTACACCCTGAACACTGCCTCCACTACACCCTGGTCGTTCTCTCACCTACACCCTGAAAACAGACCCCACTATACATTGGACGCTCTCTTCACACTGGAGTTCTCTCCAATGCACCCTGAACACTGCCTCCACTACACCATGGACGCTCTCTCCAATACACACTGAAAACAGCCCCCACTATACCTTGGACGCTCTCTTCACACTGGAGTTCTCTCCAATACACACTGAACACTGCCTCCACTACACCCCTACACTGAAAAGAGCCCCAACTATACCTTGGACGCTCTCTTCACACTGGATGTTCTCTCCAATACACATTACCTCCAATGCACCCTCTTCACTCTCCCCGACACATTGGAAACAGCCCCCACTACACCCTGGACTATCTCTTCCCTGTGGTGGTCTGATTGCATTTACTAAAAAGGTTGATGTTGCTACTTTGAAAACCGTATATATTCATTTCTTAGATGTTAAATATGTTTGGATATGTGTACAGCAGTTGAATTCTTTTTTACCAAAGGGGAATGGAACCAAGACCCATCACACTTCTTCAGACTATTTCTGCAGAGGTCTCTTTACAAACTAAATTGTGTTTTTTTTATTATTCGTGCAGGTGTCCGAGAATTCACGGTTCAATAATGAGATAGGTCTTGATATGAATGTATTTATTCACTCTGGTGGTACTGAAGGAAACAACAAGCACCAGAAATAGAAATATCCCGGTCAAAGGAAAACGATTACAAAGTGCAGTGAGTAAGGATGAATAACACAGTAGTCAAGGGAAAACAACACGATGTTGATGGTGTTGCGACAGAGGACGTTCAAATAGCGGACAATCTGGAGGAAGAAGAAGGAGAAACAGATGAAAATGATGAGGAAGGCGGGAATGTTACATTGGGGGCAGCAACTTTTTCAAAAGTCGTGCTTGAGACTGGCCAGCGTCAGAACTCTCACAGTATCCATGATGGTAAGGAATGGGAACCGTGATGTAGATATATTTTCCAGAAGATTCCGGCACTTTTGTAAAGTGGTTTTCTTCTTATGTACTTGGCATGTAGCTACATAGAATGCTTTGTGGTATTCAGTCCAAAGTCAAGTATTATTGTCTTGACTGACGTGTCACGTTTAATAATACCCCTCTAAACATTGTTCTTATTAACCATGTGGGCGCCAAGACAGTTCATCAAATCAGATCCTCATGACAGTTTCGAAGCTTCCAACGAATGCTCACTTCTAACAGGCGAGGTGAGGTGAAATGGGGTTTAATGTCGGGTCCAAGATTATTGCACTTATACAGCGACGTGCATGTACGTGTGTGTGTTTGTGTGGCTGCTTGTACTAGTCTGGACTGATGCTCACTGATATACCATGCCGCAATTTAACATGAATACCGCCGGGCATCGAACCCCGGACCTTCCGCTCTCCGGGCGGGCGCTCTACCACTAGACCACGGAGGCGGTTCTCTTTTAAGAATACTTCACAATAAGTATGCCTTGTTTTCCCACAGCATTAAAAACGCTGACGCATCATATTGCCACACAAGGCTCATCTACCTGCCAGGATTCCAGCATGGCATTGATGCCTTCACAATCCAATACACAGGAGATGGACACAAACTGGGTGCCTGAGACAGCACCATCATCTGGTGCTGCTTCAAGTAAGAAGATTTGCCTTCTTGACTTAGTCACACTAGATGCTGACATTGATGAAGATAAAGTATCTTCACTTAAAGACGTTAACAAAACCTCTGAGCGTATGTAATCAAGAACATTTAGGTTAACATAAAATGAGGAAAACATTTATTCATCTAGCATTCAATGCCCCTTGTGTATATTTTAGGGTAATTCATATTCTCGAAAAAATATAATCTTTTCCCGAAAATGCTGCAAAATTATTTGACCTAAGGATTTACTTTAAAAAAAGTATATATCGTTCAGTTAACAGAAATATGTACCCCCACGCCCCAACACACATATCCTACTCCTGAATATTACATGGCCTAACATCATCATGAAATGAATGGGGTATGATGTTGCGTTCAAAGTAATTGCATATATATATAGGGACTTTGATGCATGTTTGAGGCTGTTTGTACTAGTCCGGCTGATGCCGGATTTATATTGCGAACCCATTGAGATATCACCCAGCAGTTTAACATGGATAACCCACTCAGATACTCACAAAATCGATGTTTTATGTCTTAATGATAACGCACCAGGCAGGGAAACAACAAGTAACATATTCTTACGTTGGCGCCGGGATCGAACAACCACGGAGGCAGTATTTTCAAATGATAGAAAAAACATTTTCCCGTAACAACCGTAATATTGAAGGTAAATTGTAACATGCTTGTACAACAATCAAGTAACTGATATGCTAAGTACGTAATTTTGTCTATGTTGTAAACAAAGTAAGTTGAGCTATTTACATACCACAATTTGACAGATCAACATATGGCAAGCCGTCAACTTGTCATCATACATGAACACATTCAGACGCTTGTTCATAATTCGTTTTCATCAATGAATACGTTTTACATTATAATCATAAACCTGATAAATAATTAATTACAATAAGGCTTCATTTGTGTTTCGTTTCTCCCTCCATATATGAGTAATATAACATGTTGGCAATTAAATTGTTTTAAACACTCAAGTTATATAATTAGAAGTTCTGATATCTGAATGGTTGTGGCCTTGTTCCTTGAAATTGCCGTTTCACAAGTGTCAGGTTACTAAATAATTATGTACTTTACAGCAATTCAGTATAACGTTCTCCAAGTCCAACAGCACATTGGAGAAATGACGGTGAAGGGCGGCAGGAATCTGACCATCGGAGGGACTCAAAACATCGGTAAATCGCAGCCCTGTCCCCAGGAGGAGGAGGAGGAGGAGAAACCGCTGACTACAGTACAGAAGATCAGGAGTGAGTTCCAGTGGATAAAGCAAGATAGATGATTCTTCATGTACAAGCATCATTGTAGTAATTTAGAGTTATATTTTTTTGGATAAAATAGTCGTCAAGTATTAGACCGTGCACATGATGAAAGGGTCAATACAGTGATGCAAGAGGTATATGCAGAAACAGGGACAAGAGACTTACGCTACGTGTATCTTCTGCAATATAATATATGTGCACTATATAGTAAATGTTATTTTTAATTTTCTTGAAACGTGTTCCATTTCTTCATCACGTACTATTTCGACAATTCTGAGCCATTACAGTCGTCTGAGGCGCCGCGATTTGCTGTGCAGAGTTACGTCCCTTAGGCACGCCAGAAACCTTTGATTGTGGGTTCGAATCCCGGTTCGTCCCGATTATGTTTCTAGGTTTGTCAGCACCATACCCGTGCTCGTGGGTTTCACCGATGTGCTAAACGTCTGAGACCTGCATCACTTCAGGCTTTCCTAACCACATTAAGCTGACACGCCATGATGTAACTGGAATACTGTTAAAAGTGGCGTTGAACCCAACTCACTAACTCACTGAGCCATTAATTTCTCGAACGTAGAAGTTAACATGAAAATGATAGGAATAGTAGATAACGGATGTCAATGTAAAACAATATGACCATTAATGGCATGCTTAATTTGTTAACAAGTTTTGTCTGAAGAAAATGTTCTTGTTTCTTTCTTTTTTGTTGTTTTACAAATTTACTTTTGAGTAGCAAAAAATAATAACTCTCAGATTTGTTAACACAGTTTCTCAGCTCATTTACTGATATATATCACAGTGATCAGTTCTTAGTATTAATAATTTATTATCAAGTGGAGCAAATGTGAAATGTATTTACACAATAAGGAGAGGTTGTTTGTAAAAATACCACTAGGTCAGTATGTGTGAAAGGTGGATCGGATTTGTACAGTTCAATCGATTGTATTATATTTTTTCAGAACGAACAGAATCAAGGATACAGTCATGGACCCAAGGTATGGTTAAGACACAGGCACATAAGGAGGTGATGGAGAAGATTGACAGGGGAGCAACATGGGTGACAATAAAGGGAAGACCAGGAGAGGGGAAGTCTACAGTTGCCTACATGGCCCTCGGAGATCTGCACAGCCAAGGGAGACAAGTATTCCAAGTTGTGTCCCCAGACGAATTCAATGAGGTAACCAGGACTTGTACCAACCCTGTGATTATGATGGATGATATATTTGGTGATCTGGAATTTGACGTTGCAGAGTGGACCAAGTGGAGACCCTCTCTTCGTCCCATTCTTGATTTGCAAAATCCTGACTTGGAGCTAACTTTAAATGGTTCAACTGACATCAATCCAGAGCAAAATCGAAAGAAACAATCTTTATTTATTCTTGTGGGACGTGATTATGTACTAAAATCCTCTTTACCAGACCTTGGAAGAGCGAGGGAATATGTTACAAGCAGTAAACATCTAGTCGAACTCTCACCAACCAGAGATCATGAAGAAAAACTGAATATTTTGAAATCAATTTTTCAAATGGAAGGTGTTGACATTGAGAAAAAAGTCATTTTTAAATTAAGTCACATCGCGTGTCCACATGGGTTTCCACATGTCTGTAGACTATTTGTCACAGCCTTTAAACAGAATGACAAGGTATCAGCAAAGGAGTTTTTCGTGAGTCCTCTTGAATTTCTAAACCAAACGTTGCAGAAATTAATAAACAATAAATCAAAGTGTCAACTCCTGAAGGCAATGATCCAAGGAGATGGGAAAGTGTCGCAGTCTGAATTGTATAAAGACAAATACAAGATGCATGACTGTGTATCATCTGCCAATGAGCTTGTTGGGTCATATCTGAAGCTGGAAGATGGTACATACATGTTTGACCATCCATCAATCTATGACAGTGTTGCATTTCTTCTGACTGAAAAAGATCCAGTATTTGTCATTGAGAATTGTAGTCTCTCATTCATCAACCAGCGACTTAGACATGGGACTGTTGAAACCCAAGGTTTGGTTGCAGAAATCCCACCTTTCTGCATTGACAACTTGGTGCAGAGATTTGCCTTGGCGATTCAGCGGGGCAACCTGGCATATGTAATCTCACATCAAATCTGTTGTGATCCAGACTTCATTGATAAACTGATGAACATACTGAAAGAACAATATCAAATATCTGTAAATACATTTCTGAGGAAGACTGATGAAGAAACACTAGAATCCTGTTTGGAGTTGCTGCCAAGCAACAAATCTTCAACCATGGTGAAATACATACTGGAGAAGGGAAACATTACACTGCATCAGACGGAGATAGATGAGATCTTATTTGGTGTGTGCAAACATGCTGCAGGTGATGTGTTGACATATCTTACAAAACATTTAAAACTGGACATCAATGCTACATACAGACACCGTGAGCAGACCCCGCTGATGATAGCAACTGAGACTGGAGATTGTAACTTTGTACACCAGATACTTCGCCTTCTTCCTGATCTGAATGCATCTGACAGCTATGACAGAACTGTGCTGCATTACCTGTGTGAACATGGTCTTGTGTCAGCTGTGGAGTATGTCATTGACAAGGGTGTAGATATTGATGTACCAGATCAGATGGGTCAATCTTCACTTTTTCTAGCGTGTTTGTCTGGTCACAAGGGCCTAGTGAAACTGTTACTCGATAGAGGAGCAGTAGGTTATGTGGATAACTATCATAAGTCTCCTCTACTTGCGGCTTGTCTCAATGGCAAGGAAGAAGTTGTAAAACTGGTGCTGGATAGAACTGATGTTAATTGTGAATGGAAGGATAGGTCTCTGGGTTGGGCATGTGCTTGCGGCATTGAGGGAATAGTAAAAGCTTTGTTGGAGGGAGGAGCAAATATTGCTGGTCGGGATATCCATTTTAAGCCTCTGTATCAAGCATGTACACATGGACATGCAAACATTGTTAAGACTTTACTTGTGGCAGGAGCAGAACTTAGTGGCGATGAAGTGTGTGCTGCATGTAAAAGTGGGAATCTGGATGTTGTTGAGATGCTGTTTGATAAAGGAGCCTCAGTCAATATGATATCGAAGGATGGACAACTCCCTCTTCATGCAGCATGCGAAAGTGGAAAGATGGATGTCGTGAGAGTTGTGACGGGGAAAGGAGCAAATGTCAGCATGGTGGCTCCAAATGGAAATACTACACTGCACTCAGCGTGTAAGGGAGGAAGCCAAGAGGTTGTTCTATTTTTACTTGAAAAGCTTTATACGTCTCACGAAGAAGACGAAAGAGAAGTTGGTGAATCGGCTGAAGGTTTCAGAAAGCAGAAAGCTGACAATAATTCAAATATCAAGTCAAGAGACAACCCGGCAGCTGCAGCTAGAGTAAATATAGAGGATAACACAGGAAACACAGCACTCCATGTAGCATCAATCCATGGATCGAAAGAGTGTGTTGATATGTTACTGAAGGCTGGAGCTGATGTGAAAGTACAAAACGAGACAGCCGACACTCCACTTCATGATGCATCCAGGTGTGGATCTGAAAAGTGTGTTGATCTGTTACTGAAGGCTGGGGCTGATGTAAAAGTACAAAACAACTCAAGCTACACAGCACTCCATAGAGCATCAATCCATGCATCGAACGAGTGTGTTGACCTGTTACTGAAGGCTGGGGCTGATATACAGGCACAGAATAGACGAGGCTTCACACCACTTCATATCGCATCAATGTTTGGATCTCAAAAGTGTGTTGATATGTTATTGAAGGCTGGAGCTGATGTAAAAGTACAAAACGAGACAGGCGACACTCCACTTCATACCGCATTGAGGTATGGATCTCAGAAGTGTGTTGACCTGTTACTGAAGGCTGGAGCTGATGTAAAAGTAAAAAACGAGACAGGCGACACACCACTTCATAACGCATTGAGGTATGGATCTCAAAAGTGTGTTGACCTGTTACTGAAGGCTGGAGCTGATGTAAAATTACAAAACGAGACAGGCGACACACCACTTCATAACGCATCAATGTTTGGATCTCAAAAGTGTGTTGATCTGTTACTGAAGGCTGGGGCTGATGTAAAAGTACAAAACGACTCAGGTTGCACAGCACTCCATGCAGCATCAATGTGCGGATCTCAAAAGAGTGTTTACCTGTTACTGAAGGCTGGGGCTGATGTTAGAGTACAAAACAACTCAGGCTACACAGCACTCCATGCAGCATCAATGTATGGATCTAAAGACTGTGTTGACCTGTTTCTGAAGGCTGGGGCTGATATACAGGTACAGAATAGAACAGGCGACACACCACTTCATATCGCATCAATGTGCAGATCTCACAATTGTGTTGATATGTTACTGAAGGCTGGAGCTGATGTTAAAGTACAAAACGAGACAGGCGATACTCCACTTCATAACGTATCAGGGCTCGGATCTGAAGAGCGTTTTTACCTGTTTCGGAAGGCTGGCCTGAATGTCGGGGATCAGAGAGGACTCGCGACACTCCATAGAGCATCAATGTATGGATCGAAAGAGTGTGTTGTCCTGTTACTGAAGGCTGGGGCTGATATACAGGTACAGAATAGAACAGGCGACACACCACTTCATAAAGTATTGAGGTATGGATGTCAAAGGTGTGTTGATCTGTTACTGCAGGCTTGAGCTGATGTAAAAGTACAAAACGAGACAGGCGACACTCCACTTCATGAAGCATCCAGGTGTGGATCTGAAAAGTGTGTTGATCTGTTACTGAAGGCTGGGGCTGATGTAAAAGTACAAAACGAGACAGGCGACACTCCACTTCTTGAAGCATCCAGGTGTGGATCTGAAAAGTGTGTTGATCTGATACTGAAGGCTTGGGCTGATGTAAAAGTACAAAACAAATCAGGCTGCTCAGCACTCCATGCAACATCAATGTGCGGATCTCAAAAGTGTGTTGACCTGTTACTGAAGGCTGGGGCTGATGTAAAAGTACAAAACGAGACAAGCGACACTCCACTTCATGAAGCATCCAGGTGTGGATCTGAAAAGTGTGTTGATCTGTTACTGGAGGCTGGGGCTGATGTAAAAGTACAAAACAAATCAGGCTGCACAGCACTCCATGCAGCATCAATGTTTGGATCTCAAAAGTGTGTTGACCTGTTACTGAAGGCTGGGGCTGATGTAAAAGTACAAAACGAGACAGGCGACACTTCACTTCATGAAGCATCCAGGCGTGGATCTGAAAGGTGTGTTGATCTGTTACTGAAGGCTGGGGCTGATGTAAAAGTACAAAACGAGACAGGCGACACTCCACTTCATAAAGCATCCAGGTGTGGATCTGAAAAGTGTGTTGACCTGTTACTGAAGGCTGGGGCTGATGTAAAAGTACAAAACGAGACAAGCTACACTCCACTTCATGAAGCATCCAGGTGTAGATCTCAAAAGTGTGTCGATCTGTTACTGAAGGCTGGGGCTGATGTAAAAGTACAAAACAAATCAGGCTACACAGCACTCCATGCAGCATCAATGTGCGGATCTCAAAAGTGTGTTGATCTGTTACTAAAGGCTGGGGCTGATGTAAAAGTACAAAACAAATCAGGCTACACAGCACTCCATGCAGCATCAATGTGCGGATCTCAAAAGTGTGTTGATCTGTTACTGAAGGCTGGGGCTGATGTGAAAGTACAAAACGAGACAGGCGACACTCCACTTCATGATGCATCCAGATGTGGATCTCAAAAATGTGTTGATATGTTACTGAAGGCTGGGGCTGATGTAAAAGTACAAAACAAGACAGGCTACTCTCCACTTCATGAAGCATCCAGATGTGGATCTCATAAGTGTGTTGACCTGTTACTGAAGGCTGGAGCTGATGTAAAAGTACAAAACAAGACAGGCGAAACACCACTTCATAACGCATCAATGTGCAGATCTGAAAAGTGTGTTGATATGTTACTGAAGGCTGGAGCTGATGTTAAAGTACAAAACGAGGCAGGCGACACTCCACTTCATAACGTATTAGGGCTCGGATTGGAAGAGCGTATTTACCTGTTACAGAAGGCTGGCCTGAATGTCGGGGATCAGATAGGACTCGCGCCGCTCTGTAGAACATTAATGTATGGATCGAAAGAGTGTGTTGACCTGTTACTGAAGGCAGGGGCTGATATACAGGTACAGAATAGAACAGGCGACACACCACTTCATAAAGTATTGAGGTATCGATCTCAAAAGTTTGTTGATCTGTTACTGAAGGCTGGAGCTGATGTAAAAGTACAAAAGGAGACGGGCGACACTCCACTTCCTGAAGCATCCAGGTGTTGATCTCAAAAGTGTGTTGATCTGTTACTGAAGGCTGGGGCTGATGTAAAAGTACAAAACGAGACAGGCGACACTCCACTTCATGAAGCATCGAGATGTGGATCTGAAAATGTGTTGATCTGTTACCGAAGGCTGGGGCTGATGTAAAAGTACAAAACGAGACAGGCGACGCTCCACTTCATGAAGCATCCAGGTGTGGATTTCAAAAGTGTGTTGATCTGTTACTGAAGGCTGGAGCTGATGTAAAAGTACAAAACAACTCAGGCTACACAGCACTCCATGCAGCATCAATCCATGGATCGAAAAAGTGTGTTTACCTGTTACTGAAGGCTGGGGCTGATATACAGGTACAGAATAGAACAGGCGACACACCACTTCATAAAGTATTGAGGTATGGATGTCAAAGGTGTGTTGATCTGTTACTGCAGGCTTGAGCTGATGTAAAAGTACAAAACGAGACAGGCGACACTCCACTTCTTGAAGCATCCAGGTGTTGATCTGAAAAGTGTGTTGATCTGATACTGAAGGCTTGGGCTGATGTAAAAGTACAAAACAAATCAGGCTGCTCAGCACTCCATGCAACATCAATGTGCGGATCTCAAAAGTGTGTTGACCTGTTACTGAAGGCTGGGGCTGATGTAAAAGTACAAAACGAGACAAGCGACACTCCACTTCATGAAGCATCCAGGTGTGGATCTGAAAAGTGTGTTGATCTGTTACTGGAGGCTGGGGCTGATGTAAAAGTACAAAACAAATCAGGCTGCACAGCACTCCATGCAGCATCAATGTTTGGATCTCAAAAGTGTGTTGACCTGTTACTGAAGGCTGGGGCTGATGTAAAAGTACAAAACGAGACAGGCGACACTCCACTTCATAAAGCATCCAGGTGTGGATCTGAAAAGTGTGTTGACCTGTTACTGAAGGCTGGGGCTGATGTAAAAGTACAAAACGAGACAAGCTACACTCCACTTCATGAAGCATCCAGGTGTAGATCTCAAAAGTGTGTCGATCTGTTACTGAAGGCTGGGGCTGATGTAAAAGTACAAAACAAATCAGGCTACACAGCACTCCATGCAGCATCAATGTGCGGATCTCAAAAGTGTGTTGATCTGTTACTAAAGGCTGGGGCTGATGTAAAAGTACAAAACAAATCAGGCTACACAGCACTCCATGCAGCATCAATGTGCGGATCTCAAAAGTGTGTTGATCTGTTACTGAAGGCTGGAGCTGATGTGAAAGTACAAAACGAGACAGGCGACACTCCACTTCATGATGCATCCAGATGTGGATCTCAAAAATGTGTTGATATGTTACTGAAGGCTGGGGCTGATGTAAAAGTACAAAACAAGACAGGCTACTCTCCACTTCATGAAGCATCCAGATGTGGATCTCATAAGTGTGTTGACCTGTTACTGAAGGCTGGAGCTGATGTAAAAGTACAAAACAAGACAGGCGAAACACCACTTCATAACGCATCAATGTGCAGATCTGAAAAGTGTGTTGATATGTTACTGAAGGCTGGAGCTGATGTTAAAGTACAAAACGAGGCAGGCGACACTCCACTTCATAACGTATTAGGGCTCGGATTGGAAGAGCGTATTTACCTGCTACAGAAGGCTGGCCTGAATGTCGGGGATCAGATAGGACTCGCGCCGCTCTGTAGAACATTAATGTATGGATCGAAAGAGTGTGTTGACCTGTTACTGAAGGCAGGGGCTGATATACAGGTACAGAATAGAACAGGCGACACACCACTTCATAAAGTATTGAGGTATCGATCTCAAAAGTTTGTTGATCTGTTACTGAAGGCTGGAGCTGATGTAAAAGTACAAAAGGAGACGGGCGACACTCCACTTCCTGAAGCATCCAGGTGTTGATCTCAAAAGTGTGTTGATCTGTTACTGAAGGCTGGGGCTGATGTAAAAGTACAAAACGAGACAGGCGACACTCCACTTCATGAAGCATCGAGATGTGGATCTGAAAATGTGTTGATCTGTTACCGAAGGCTGGGGCTGATGTAAAAGTACAAAACGAGACAGGCGACGCTCCACTTCATGAAGCATCCAGGTGTGGATTTCAAAAGTGTGTTGATCTGTTACTGAAGGCTGGAGCTGATGTAAAAGTACAAAACAACTCAGGCTACACAGCACTCCATGCAGCATCAATCCATGGATCGAAAAAGTGTGTTTACCTGTTACTGAAGGCTGGGGCTGATGTAAAAGTACAAAACAACTCAGGCTACACAGCACTCCATGCAGCATCAATGTATGGATCTAAAGACTGTGTTAACCTGTTACTGAAGGCTGGGGCTGACATACAGGTACAGAATAGAACAGGCGACACACCACTTCATATCGCATCAATGTTTGGATCTCAAAAGTGTGTTGATATGTTACTGAAGGCTGGAGCTGATGTTAAAGTACGAAACGAGACAGGCGACACTCCACTTCATGAAGCATCCAGGTGTGGATCTCAAAAGTGTGTTGTTCAGGCTACACGGCACTCCATGCAGCATCAATCCATGGATCGAAAGACTGTGTTGACCTGATACTGAAGGCTTGGGCTGATATACAGGTACCGAATAGATCGGGCGACACACCACTTCATAACTCATAGCACAAAACGAGACAGGCATCAGGGTGTAGATCTCAAACGTGGGTTGATATTTTACTGAAGGTTGCAGCTGATGTGAATGTTGAGAATAAAACAGGCGACACTTCACTTCATAGAGCATCAAGGCGTGGATCTCAAAAGTGTGTTGATATGTTACTGAAGGCTGGCGCTGATATAAAAGTACAAAACAACTCAGGCGACACACCACTTCATGGAGCATCAATCCATGGATCGAAAGAGTGTGTTGAACTGTTACTGAAGGCTGGTGCTGCAGTGAATGTAGAGAATAACACAGGCGACACACCACTTATAGAGGATCAATGTGTCTACGAAAGAGTGTGTTAATCTGTTATAATTGAAGGTTGGAGCTGATGTAAACATAAAGACAGTACGGACGACACACCACTACATGGAGTAATAATGCATGGGTCGAAATAGTATGTTGATGTGTTACTGATGGCTGGAATTGATGTAAATGTAGAGAATAGTACGGAAGACACATCACTACATGGAGTATCAATGCATGGGTCGTAATTGTTTGTTGATGTGTTATTGAAGCTTTGAGCTGATGTTAACGAAGAGACAGTGCGGACGACACACCAGTACATGGTGAATCAATGCATGGATCGAAAGAGTGTGTTCATATATTACTGGATCCTGGAGCTGGTGTGAATGTACGGAATAACACAGGCAACACACCACTTCATGGCGCACCAATGTCACGATGGAAAGAGTGTGTTGACCTGTTACTGACGGTTGGAGCTGATGCGTATGTACAGAATAACAAGGGAGCCACAGTTCTCCATGGAGCAGCAATGCGTGGATCGAAAGAGATTAATTATGTTACTGAATATCAGAGCTGTTGTTAACTTACGCAACAAACACAGCGACACACCACTCTGCATTAAAGAGTGGTTCTTAAAAGTGTGTTGATATGTTACTGTGGGCTGGAGCTATTGTGAATGTACAGAATAACAATGGGGCCACACTGCTTCTTGGAACATTATGTGTGGGTGACAAAAGGTTGTGCACTGGTTACGTACCTCTTCATGAGCATGGAAGAGCGAATGGAAATGATGTTTTGATATGTTACCGGGGTTCATGTAAATATCAAAAAAAACCACAGACGTCACACGAGTCGATAGAGCATCAGCGAGTGAATCGAAAGAATGGCTTCACGTGTTAGTTATGGCAGGAGCCGATGGAAATGTACAAAATACGACAGGTGACACATCACTTTAATCCTCATTTAGCTGGGCTGTCCGCTGGCTTTGTATACCGCTCCGTGCCGTATTGTGACATATCACTTTCACCCTCCTTGAGCTGGGCCGTCCGCTGGCTTTGTATACCGCTCAGCGCCTTATTGTGACACATCACTTTAACCCTCATTTAGCCGTGCCGTCCGCTGGCTTTGTATACCGCTCGGTGCCCGATTGTGACACGTCACTTTAACCCTCATTTAGCTTGGCCGTCATCTGGCTTTGTATACCGCTCATCGCCTTATTGTAACACGTCACGTTCACCATCATTAAGCTGGGCCTTCATCTGGCTTTGTATACCGCCCAGCCCCTTATTGTGACACATCACTTTAACCCTCATTGAGCTGGGCCGTCAACTGGCTTTCTATACCACTCAGCGCCTTATTGTGACACGTCACTTTAAACCTCATTTAACTGGGCCGACAACTGGCTTTGTATACCGCTCAGCGCCTTATTTTGACACATCACTTTAACCCTCATTGAGCTGGGCCGTCAACTGGCGTTGTATACCGCTCAGCGCCTTATTGTGACACATCACTTTAACCCCCTCATTGAGCTGGGCCGTCATCTGGCTTTGTATACCGCTCAGCCCCTTATTGTGACACATCACTTTAACCCTCATTGAGCTGGGCCCTCAACTGGCTTTGTATACCGCTCAGTGCCTTATTGTGACACGTCACTTTAAACCTCATTTAACTGGGCCGTCAACTGGCTTTGTATACCGCTCAGCGCCTTATTGTAACACGTCACGTTCACCCTCATTGAGCTGGGCCTTCATCTGGCTTTGTATACCGCTCAACGCCTTATTGTGACACATCACTTTAACCCTCATTGAGCTGGGCCGTCAACTGGCTTTGTATACCGCTCAGCGCCTTATTTTGACACATCACTTTAACCCTCATTGAGCTGGGCCCTCAACTGGCGTTGTATACCGCTCAGCGCCTTATTGTGACACGTCACTTTAACCCTCATTGAGCTGGGCCGTCAACTGGCTTTGTATACCGCTCAGCGCCTTATTGTGACACATCACTTTAACCCTCATTGAGCTGGGCAGTCAACTGGCTTTGTATACCGCTCAGCGCCTTATTTTGACACATCACTTTAACCCTTCATTGAGCTGGGCCCTCAACTGGCGTTG